AGGATGACTCCTCAGAAAATAGAAGCATTTTTATAGAACAGAGTTTTTCATAAATAGTTTTGCTGGGTTTTTTTTTGTTTGTTTGTTTGTTTTTACAGTTTCTGTAAATTACACGATAACAAATGACAAGCAGAGATGAAACAAATCCGCAAATGTTTTCTGAACTACGGTGAAGCAATATAAATACAATAAGCATTCGGTAATTAATTTAATACGACTAGGAAATGACTATAAATAATATATAGATAGATAGATAGATAGATAGATAGATAGATAGATAGATAGATAGATATGAAAGATTGATAGATAGATAGATATATAGATAGATAGATAAATAGATAGATAGATGAATGAATATTAACACACACAGGGGAATATATAGCACATCTACAAACGAAAGATAGGTATGAATATAGATAATAGATAGATAGATAGATAGATTTAGATAGATATGAACAAATAGACAGATGAATATTAACTTACAAAGACATAACACATCTAATTGAAAGATAGATATGAATAGACAGAGATAGATAAATAGATAGATAAATAGATGATAGATGGTGAAAACAAGATAGATAGATAAATAGATGATTAGATAGATAGATAGATAGATAGATAGATAGATAGAAATATTTGTCTCTCTCTTCCGTCTCTTATTGTCCATTAAAGACTTTGTTTATATTTGCAACCGTCTCCTTTGTTTGTTACCCGGGTAACAAACCATCTGACGTGACGAGCTGACCCGGATACCACTTCCGGTTTTGATGTGATCCGCTCAATAACAGACTGACTTAATAGCGTACGCACATCCTGTCTGTTTTGTCGACAATTTTCGCGGTAATAAACGCGCTCTTGACAAAAGATCAAAACCATATAACAGTTATTTTCGATTATCTTTTTGTTTTTTTTTTTATTTTTTATTATTTTTTCAGAGAGATTAATCCGACTAAATAATCGTGTAACACGGTGCAGTAATGTTGGCAGACTTGTAGATGAGTTTATATATATATATATATATATATATATATATATATATATATATATATATATATACACACGAACAAACGCATACATATATATATACACACAAAAAAAGGAAAACACACACATATATATATATATATGTATATATATATATATATATATATATATATATAAATATATATATATATATATATATATGTATATACAGTGTAACCCGGATATAAGAGACCCGGATATAAGAGAAACCCGGATATAAGAGAGATTTTCTCTGGTCCCAAATTAGAGCCTGTGTTAATGTATATAAAAATAGACCAAACTCGGATATAAGAGAAACCCGGATATAAGAGACTTCTTCTCCGGTCCCGACAACTCTCTTATATCCGGGTTACATTGTATATATACATACACACACACATATATATATACATACACACACAAACAAACGCATACATATATATATATACACACACACACACACACATACAAACACACACACACATATATATCTATATCTATATATATATATATATATATATACGACGATTATATTTATTTCCACTTATCTCAACATCTGTGTATAGCCGCACAGACATTTTGCATATAGGGTTGGGTTCATATACAGACACTATGTGTCTAGCCGAAATCTTTTCATCTAGCCAGTCGAACTCTCTGCCTTCGGGCAGAGGGAAACCTGGACGAGGCTCTGCCGCAGGCTCAGAGTCTCGTTCGGGGAGGTAGACTGACCCTGAACCCGTTTATACGGGTTCGAAAGGGAACATTTTTGGCCGAGCCTACGGGCTCGGAAAACCCACGTAAAATTCGGCCTTGTGCCACACGTATCTATTTGCAGGGGGTTGCTAGTAAATACTGACACTATCTCCTGTTTTTGCCTCTTCCCACTCGACATATCTGTGAATCAATTTGCAATTAATGCAACCAGATGGGTTAGGTACTAACTTTATATTTATTTGGTGTAAGCCATTTTTCCTTAAAAATTATTATTATTATTAAAGGAAACATTATAGATATATTGTAGGTATATCTGGAATTTACAGTGAGTTCCCCGTATTGACAATGGGTTACGGACCAGAACCGACCTTGTACAGTTAGAATCCTCAAATACTTGTAAACTCCCCCTAAAAGTGCTTATAAGTCCCTATTTTGAATGTTAAAACCCTACATGCATTAAACTTTCATCCTAAATACTTTAGAAACATTTCAGACCCTTTTAAAAACATTTTTGAAAAATAGTATTGGTGATCACACACTTAGCGTAAATTTTCTTTCATACGTACAATAACTGTTTTTAATTACGCATAGATCGATAGAGGGTTTGTGAGAAAGAGGAGAACAAATTGTAAGTGAGGAAAAGAGGGGAAAAATTTAATTATTTTATTTCGCTCATCCGGGTTCAGAAGTAACTAAAAAGTATTTACTTAAATGCTTGCACCCTGACATAATCTCAGTTCTCTCGTTTAACAAGAGACCCCCATCAGAATACGTGGCAACGACCAACACCCCTCACTCCAGCACAGCCGGCAACAACCACCACGAACTCCGCTAGCCCATTCATATATATATATATATATATATATATATATATATATATATATATATATGGTACATAAAAAAAATACTTTTACAAACATTGGGGGCGTGTTCCTGACACCAAAACAAGGTAAAATGTCCATATAAACATATGTTCAAAAGGCCTTCATTGTACCTGAACACAGCAACTCATCACAAATGTTCAAAATGTCCTCCACTTACTTCTACACCTGCATGCACCCGTCGGATCATTGACTGGCGGGCTCTTTCAAATACTCCTAGATGGGGTCGAGTGGTCTCGCAGGCCCCCATTACACGTTGAGAAAGCATCTCTGCATTATTTATGTCTGCTGCACAAATCAATTGTTTTAGGTGGCACCACAGGTAAAATCTTTCAGGCTAGATGTCAGCCACTGCATCGCGAACAATGTGACTAAAATGTGCTAGAGCCCCCCCCCCCATCATACATAAACTACATACCTCATCGTATTCGCAGAGTGACATGCTCTATTAGGTATCGAAAGTGTGCTCGAAATAAAGTGCATGTTTACAGCTCCTTTAAGACGTGCTGGGATACCATATGGACCTACCAGCTAGTCACTTACATTTCCAGCCCACACATTAATTGTAAGTTGATGCCGATCCGCCCACAAATTTGTTATTCCATCTCTTCCAAATAAACATGTCCAAAAGGACTTTGTTGTACCTCAATACAGCAACTCAAAACAAATGTTCAAAATGTCCTCCACTTGCTTCTATACACACATGAACCCGTCAGATCATTGGCTGGCACACATTTTCAAATACTCCGACATGGTGTTGAATGGTTTTGAAGGCCATTGTGACATGTTGATGAAGCGTCTCTGTATTATTAATGACTGTTGCATAAAGCAATTGTTTTAGGTGGCCCCTCAGATAAAAAAAAATTGAAGGATTGCTGTCAGAGGAATGTGCAGACTATGGAATTGGTCCTTCCCTACCTATCCATCTTTCATGGTAGATGTCAGCCAGTGCATTGTGAATAAGGTGACTAAAATGTGCTGGAGCCCCATCATGCATTAACCACATACATCTTTATATTAGCAGGGATACATCCTCTAGCAGTTCTGGAATTGTGTTGGAAATAGATGTCTCCTGTAAGATGTGCTGGGAGAATATATGCACCTGCCAGGCTATATATGCACCAACCTACAATTCCAGCCAACACATCAGCCGTAAACTGATGCTGGTCTCCAGCCTGTATTTTACCATGGGAATTCTGATTTTCCCACAAATGTTGGTTGTGTAAAATGATGCCTCATCTAAAAACAAGACTGAAGAGACAAAGAAAAGTTCCCCCGTAGTGAGTGATCAGAGAGCGAAAGACCCTGCACACGTTGCAAATGATACAGATACAGGAGCTGCTTTTGAAGTACTTTCTATGAGGTACTATGAGATGTACGACATTCTAGGACCACTTGACGTGTGCTGATATCTGGATCATCTGTAGAATTCTTCGTGGTCAGGCGTATGAGCGGATTTCGGTCTTCCTCAACCCATAGTTTGTGGTGCCACGGACCTTGTCTCGGTAACGCGGCGATAAACTGAAGCAAAATTGGATGATTCGGCTGACTTCGGTCTGGAAAGGCAATCTGATACAGCCGTACAACCTGGCGTCCATTGTCATTCCCGCAGTAAAAATCATATCTGCCTCCTCATGATACTAATACCCTGCCATCGGAACACTTCTCATCTAACTCGCTACAACACACTTTAAACTTTGAAGACGAGCAATGAATGACAAATGCAATCTAGTCTACATGACAACACAACGCCATGTACAGTAAAATTTCTTTAAACTTACTAAATTAAGAAACAAAGAATTTACGGGCATCTATTTAGATGGACTTTTGTAATTGTTTTGGTCTGAGTAACCTGCTCCAAACTTTGTAAAAAATTTTTTTATACAATATATATATATTATGAAATGGACAAAGTCCGACAATTATTTTAAGACATTTTTATGTTTATACATTCTTTTTATAGATACAAATATTTAAGTAAATGCTCTGTTTATAATAAACAGTATTAAACATTTACCGGGCTGAATGTCCGAGAAATTTTCATAGAAAATATTCATCCTCCGACCGGAATCGAACCTATATCCTATACGGAACCGTCATTTAGAATGGAAGAGCCAAATTGTCTAAATCGTGTAACAGCATATATATATATATATATATATATATATATATAAGATGTTATATTTATGGGATAAAGTGCTCAATATCGGAGATAGAGCTTGTGTAAATATAAAAGTGAAGATAAAGTCAACGATTACAGGCGACAGTCTGTTTCATGCTAAATGCAATCGTCAGGTCTAACGATTGCATCTATCTTCACTTTTGTATTTACTTTTTATATTTATAGTTTTATATATATTTTTATATTTATATTTTATATTATTTACACACACATATATATATATATATATATATATATATATATTGTGTGTGTATGTTTGTCTTCTCATCGTACCAAATAATTTTCCGCTATTATGTATTTTATACAATAGGCAGAAACGTGTGACTGAATGTTCAGCATTTGAAACATTTTATTTTCGTCTCAGCTGGAAGGCCACCCTCTAGCGAGTGACACGCTCAAGTATTTCAGACCCGAGGCAGATCATTCAAAAGGTTATATTTATAACCATTTGTACGCCTTTTATTCTCTTTTTAAGACTTCAGTCTTTTCATCATTTTTTTTTTTTTAAGATTTCTGGAAGTTTACTTTTGACCAGCTTCAAAACATTCTATTGTTTAACTGAAGAAGTTTATCAATAGGGAGAAGAGAAAAAAACTGGAAACGGAAAGAAAGAAAGAAAGAAAGAAAGAGGGGAAAATGAAAGGATGAAGAAAGAAAGAAAGAAAAAAAGAAAGAAAGAAAGAAAGAAAGAAGGGAAAAAATAACGTGCAGAAAAGAAAGAAAGAAACAAACAAACAAAGAGGGCACTTAAAGAAAGAAAAAAACAAAGAACGTTAAGAAAGAAAAAAAGAAAGAAAGAAAGAATGAATGAACGAATAAAAAAAGAAAGAAAAAAGGGAAAAAGAAAAAAAATAAAAATGAATGAAAAGAAAGAATGAAAAAAAGAAAGAAAGAAAAAAGAAAGAATGAATGAATAAAAGAAAGAAAGAAAAAAAAAGAAAAAATGAATGAAGAAAGAAAGAAAAAATGAAATGAAAGAAAAAGAAAGAAAAAAAAAAGAAAGAAAGAAAAAAAATGAAAAAAAAAGAAAGAAAAAGAAAGAAAAAATGATTAAAGAATGAATAAAAAAAGAAAGAAAAAAGAAAGAAAGAAAGAAAAAAGAAAGAAAAAAAGAAAGAAAGAAAGAAAGAAGAATGAATGAATAAAAAAAAGAAAAAAAAAAAGAAAGGAAATGATTAAAAAGAAAGAAAAGAAAGAAAAAGGGAATGAATCAAAGAAAGAAAGAAAGAAAGAAAAAACAAAATTTTTAACTTTTGTGTGAAAAAAGAAAGAAAGAAAGAAAGAAAAAGAAAGGAAGAAGAAAAAAGAAAGAAAGAAAGAAAGGAAAGAATGAAAGAATAAAAAAAAAAGAAAATTTTCCGAAAAAGAAAGAAAGAAAAAAGAAAGAAAGAGAATGAATGAAAAAGAAAGAAAGAAAAAAGAAAAGAATGAATGAATGAATGAATGAAGAAAGAAAGAAAGAAAGAAAGAAAGAAAGAAAGAAAAGAAGAAGTATGTAAGAAAAATGAAAGGAAAAAAGAAAGAAAGAGAATGAACGAATAAAGGAAGAAGAAAAAACATAAAACGTGAAGAAAGAAAAGAAAGAAAGAAAGAAAGAAAGAAAGAAAAAAAGAAAGAAAGAATGAACGAATAAAGAAAGAAAAAAAAAAGAAAGAATGAATGAAATAAAAAAAAAGAAAAAAAAAAAGAAAGAAAATGAATGAATGAATAAAGAATGAAAAGAATGAAAAAAGAAAAAAAAAAAGAAAAAAAGAAAGAAAAAAGAAGAAGTATGTAAAAAAAAAAAGGGGTTAGTAAAGAAAGAAAGATACAAAATAAAGAAAGAAGAAAAAACATAGAACGTGAAGAAAGAAAGAAAGAAAGAAAGAAAGAAAGAAAAAAAAAAGGAAAGAAAGAATGAACGAATAAAGAAAGAAAGAAAAAAGAAAGAAAGAATGAATGAATAAAGAAAGAAAGAAAAAAAAAGAAAGAATGAATGAATGAATGAATAAAGAAAGAAAGAAAGAAAGAAAGAAAGAAAGAAAGAAAGAAAGAAAGAAAGAAAGAAAGAAAAAAGAAGTATGTAGAGAAAAATGAAAGGGGTTAAAGAAAGAAAGAGGGCACTTAAAGGAAGAAGAAAAAACATAGAACGTGAAGAAAGAAAGAAAGAAAGAAAGAAAGAAAAAAGAAAGAAAGAAAGAAAGAAAGAAAGAAAGAAAGAAAGGAGGAATAAAGAAAGAATAGAAAGAAACAACGAACAAACAAACAAAGAATTAATGAATGAACGAATATAGAAAGAAAGAATGAAAGAACGAACGGAACAAGAACGGACGTAGAGCAAAGAAATAAATAAATAAAAGAAAGAAAGAATAAAATAGAAAAGAAAAAAAGAAAAAAGGTACAAGTCAAAGAAATACGGACAAAAATACAAAGACCAGAAAAGTATTTGTAAAAGAAGATTGTTTTGCCTTTTGGTGATTCAAACACAGCAGAGAGACAGAGCAAGTTTGAATTATTGAAGAGGTTAAGGAAATAATAAGGATTTAGTAAAAGCGGCAACCCGTGAGATCGCCTCCAATCATCAATGAAACTTTCAATGTGTGTGTCAGCCAATGAGAGGTTGTTTAGTTCATTCGAGAAAGCGAACTGAGAAATGTTAGTTGCGTTCTGCGTCCAGAAGCTTTGGTGACGAAGGCGATTGTAACGACGGCGAGGCGAAGATGCGGGCATTTAGCCAAGAACACAAGAACAAATATGTGAAAACAAAAAGAAAGAAAAAAGAAAAAAAGCTAAAAAAAGAAAGACAACGAATCCTGAATGAAGCTGAAGGTACTAAAGAGATTTGAAAAGACTGGCTTCACTATTCTTGACATGCACGCCATGTTGGATTGCACGAACGGCCAATCTTAATGGCGGCTGAGTGACGCTCGCGGGGCAAATGTCTGAAACATCCCCGGATGACTTCCCAGGATTCCATAAGATCAGTATTTTTTTTCTACTCTGCATTTCGCCAATAGTACTGTGTTATTTTTGTTGCATTTTGTTTATTTCTTTCTTTTTGTGAGTTTCTTTTTTGTTTTTTAAGTCCTTCTTTCTCGTTCGACTCGCTTGGTGACGATGGTGGTTACAGAAACCAATTCTTATTTTTCGCTTATTATCATCTTCCCGAGTTTTCTCCCCCAACCCAACGTGATCATCATTCGTTATTTGCCATCTTTCCAATTAGATTCTTGCTTTTCTAGCCTCGTAGCTTATTCTTGACCACCGTCTTCGGATTTCTATAGCAGTGGTCGCTAACCTTTTCAACTTCATGGACCACTAAATGTATAATTTTAAATATAGCGGGCCACTAATATGAATTTAGAAATAAAGGTAACACACATTTATATAATAATGATCGGAAAACTTTTATTTTATTAATATGAAATGCACCCATTAAAGATAAAAAGTTATAGTGTTATTCTTTAAATAAAACAAATTGAAAATTTGAAGTTTACAAGTCATGTAAGTTTATACTATGGCTGGATAATGTCACATTTGTGTTCTCATGATTATTTCGAGATTGCATAAGGTCTTCAAGATATATGTCATTCATAATACGTCTTGTTACTCGCCATTTTTGAAACTGAAGCTTTTATAAAAATTGAAATATTGTCCCAATTTTTCTGCGGGCCATCAACAACTTTTTTTGGACCACTAGTGGTCCTCGGACCACTGGTTGGTGACCACTGGGCTATAACCTTTTTCTTATTGCTTATTTGTTTCTTTCTGTCGTTCTCCTTTTTCTTAATGACTTTCTTCTTCTTCTTCTTCTTCTTCTTCTTCTTCTTCTTCTTTCTTCTTTCTTCTTCTTTTTTTTCTTCTTTTTATTTTTTCTTCTTCTTTTCTTCTTCTTCTTTTTCTTCTTCTTTGCTTCTTTTTCTTCTACTTTTTTCTCCTTCTTCTTCTTCTTCTTTTTCTTCTTCTTTTTTCTTCTTCATTTTTCTTCTTCTTTTTTCTTCTTTTTTCTTCTTTTTCTTCTTCTTCTTTTCTTCTTCTCCTTTTTTCTTCTTTTTTCTTCTTCTTCTTTTTCTTCTTCTTTTTCTTCTTTTCTTTTTCTTCTTCTTCTCCTTTGCTTCTTTTTCTTCTTCTTCTTCTTTTTTTTTCTTCTTCTTTTTTCTTCTTCTTCTTCTTTTTTCTTCTTTCTCTTCTTTTTTTTTCTTCTTCTTTTTTTCTTCTTTTTCTTCTTCTTTTCTTTTTCTTCTTCTTCTGTTATTTTTCTTCTTTTATTTTCTTCTTCTTTTCTTTTTTCTTCTTCTTTTACTTCTTTTGCTTCTTTTCTTCTTTTTCTTCTTCTTTTGCTTCTTTTTCTTCTTCTTCTTCAGTGGGGCGCTGGTTAAACGCTTACTCTTGAGCTTTCTTTATATAACATTATATTCAAACCAATCTTTCGACTTACGGCCACGTCACACTGAAGCACCGGTTCCCCTACGATAACTAAGCAACGTCAAGCTCGGTCAGTACCTAGATGAGAGACCGCTTGGGAATACCTGGTGTTGCAAGCATGAATGCGTGGGTGGTGTAATAGATAATGGTTAGGAATTGTTCATCGAATAGATACGTCCCTAAGCAACCTCCATAATTAGAAAAATTTACCCCCGTATAGGGTTCGGTTCGAACTGCCAATCACCTGAAGAAGGCCGAGGCGTACTACGGCTGAAACGTCGTGAATATGACAATAAAAATGAGGACAACAGTCCGAACACTGTATATAGTGTAAATTATTAAAATACTTCATCGCAAAAATATAGACACATCCTGAAGAAGGCCGCAGCGTACAGCGGTCGAAACGTCGTGAATATGGCAGCAAAGATATAAAGACAACAGTCTGAACAATATAAATAGTGTAAATAATTACAATGCCTCATCTCAGAAATATAGACGGATCCTGAAGAAGGCTGGAGCGTACAACGGCCGAAATGTCGTGAATATAGCAATAAAGAGAGGACAACAATCCTAACGATGTAAATAGTGTAAATGGTTACAATACCTCATCTCAGAAATATAGATGCATATAAAAGTAACTGTGGTATCCACCGTTGTGAGAGCACTGGGAACGGTCTTGAACAGCTTATGAAAAAGCGGTGGAAACTGGGGAGCCTAGTAATCATACAGAAAACAGTTTGGCTGGATGCAGCTATTTTACTAAAAAACGAATTTTTGAATAAATAAAATACCAGCTGTCACGTGATAAAAAACTCTAGTCCAGCAGTTACTTTTGGCGGGATAAAAACTCCAAAAGCAATAACAAAGGTCGTGTCAAGCAATACACAAATTCACCTTCTTCTATATAATAAATGCGAATGTGTCACGCTTTTTCAAGTTTACTTCGGATTCGAACTTGCAATCCTATTTATTCTCTCTGTCTCTATCTATCTATCTATCTATCTATCTATCTATCTATCTCTCCCCATTTTAAATTTTGACACACTTGCGCATCACATCAAAAAAATACACACACACACACAAATTAGTACACATCTATATTAATAAATATTAATGTCAGTGTGTCACACTTTTTCAACTTTACTCCAAGAGGCAATAGCCCAACATATCATACCATTTTGGAATCAGGCTGACTCTATCTGTGAGCAAATTAAATTAAAAATATTCCGGGCCGGATGCGGACCCTTAAATCTGACATTTTGGATTCCCAAGTTACTGTAATTGTTTTCGAATTCCGCCATCTTGATAAAAACAATTAAAGGGACATAACTCTCTTACTATCAATAGACCATTTTCAAATTAAAAAATTACTGTTCTCAAATTACAGTATTTCAAAATAAATTATCCGTGTTTTCAAATTTAGGGGTCGTAATCCAACATATTTGGAATAAGGCCGACTCCGTGAGTAAATTAAAAACATTCCGGGTAGGATCTGGACATGTAATCCTGAAATTTTGGATTCCCAAGTTGTCATTACTGCCATTGTTTTTGGTGATTATTTGTTATGTGATGTTCTGCGACGATTTTTTTTTTCTTTTTTTTTTTTTGTAAAATAACAGTTTTTATAAGTTGGAAATGAATTTGGGAAGAATCGAAATTAATCGCAAAATCCAACGAAAGTCAACCATGAAATAAAAATAATTGTTTGTACGGAAAGTAAGGACCTACGTACATCAAATTTTGAGTTCTTCTGAAGTTTATTGTTGCCTATCGCATCCTTTCCTCCCTAGCTATTATGATGAAATCCCAATCAAGGCCTCCCTGAAAGAGCGAGCATAAATGCCGCCCGATATTTGGAAGATGCTAGAACAAAGCAAGCTCGGGTTGATATGGCGTATTTCTGATTTTCATTTTTGTTTGTTATTTTCTTTTTTATCCAACTAAAACTGCCTTCTCAACATTAAAAAAAACAGTCTGTTTCAAAATGGTGAACGCTATCAGGTTTTAGGCGATGCCGAGAGAAAAGGAGAATGATATGCATTATACGGAGAAAGAGAGTGTGAGAAAGAGAGAGACTGACCCGCTAGTTTAGTCAAAGGTAATTCAATTTTGTCACCCCGCGCAAACCGAGTTAGAAAAGCCAAAATCAAATTTCAATATTTCCAGACGATACACTAAGTGAACATTCTTCTTTGTCGCTTCGCCATTTTTTCTTTCCCTCACATGCAATTTTTTTTTTACTTCTGAAGAAAAAAAGAAATAAAAAGAAACAGCCGATAATCGATGAATAAAAGTTCTGTAAGTTTAAAGGATCGTTTTTTTTTCTTTCTCTTTCATTTATTTTTAATTATCTTTATTTATTTTGGGGAATTTATCCTACCTTTCATAACGAGTGACTTCTTTAGATCGAAACAAAAGACAAACAATAAAACACACTTGAAAACCTACAGAAATGAAATATTGGACTTTTTTAAATAGAAAGAAAACTCGTTTTCTCTGAATTTCTTTTTGCCAAGCGTTTGGTTTATTAAACAATCACGTGAAAATGTTTCATTAACACTAATCACCATCGTCAGGTCACTATACGTGTGTTGCTGACTCTGTCTACCTGTCGCATGCTCCACCACCAGACTAAACTGGCTCTCACATCGACGACTAAACTAGCTCCCTGACTAGAAAACCCAGGAGAAATATAAAAGAAGAAATCAAGCCCTGTCAAAGAATAGACTAACGTTCTCGTTGTGTCAACAGCCATCTAGCAAAATCTGGCACACTGGAGTCCTGGGTAAGACGATAAACTACATCTGCATCCTGGTCTTGGGTATGACG